ACTCCTTAAACAAACAATTATCCTGAAGTGAAGTGTCTTTCATATCACAGGAAATTGTCTTTTCTGTACACAAGCCAGCTGAGATCAAAAATAGACGACAGGATGTTGTTCTTGTAATACAACGCTGATGTCCACTGACAAGGTTTTTCCACTTTCCCCTGACTGAAGGGGAAAGCGCTCATAAGCATGGATGCAAATTGCTAAATGGTCACTCTGCGGTTAATTAGCAGGAATGGTTCTGGAAAACCCCAAGGCCGCATAAGAGGACAAGGAGGGTGAGGGGTTGTGTGTGGATATGAGAGAGGAGACCACCATTAGCTTCAACAGAGAGAATGAAAGCCCCCTGTGTGGGTGGAGGGAGCTGCACAGAGGCAGGCAGACTGGGATCACTGGAAGAGGAAAGTCATCTTGAATATGCACCATGCCTCTGTTAAGTCTAGTTGCCTAGCAATCGAAAATATTTACATCTTACGTCTTTTTTTTTTTTTCATTTTTGGAAAAGAGAAAACAAGACGTTATTCCGTATAAATTAATTATGGTGGCCCCCGCCAGTCATGGTCAGGGAGAGATCCTGCCTGTCTGGAATGCTGATCGGATGATACGGTGGTGTAATGTATCCTTGTAAAGATAGCAAGGAGAAGAAACAAACATGTCTGCACCATGAAACTAAGCCCACCGGCCTAAGAAATGTCTGTATGCGTATTAATGGATCTCCAGGTCACCATTCTTCTGCTGTCACAAGTGTACACTTGTTACCACGGTAACTCATGCTGCAGCTTCTAGGTGGGCTGGGGGTATTGTGTCTTCTCTCACTGATGGTATGAGCTTATCTGGGGTGCCTCAACAGGAAGGATAGTTGTTTTGGCCCCAGCTGCTGTTTACTGGGATTGGTTGGTGCCCACAAATGCTCATTCCAGCTGGGTGGGATTACTGGTAAAACGTACCAGCCTGGAATAACACTGAGACTACTGTGAATGGCAGTGAGAGGAAAGAAAGAACCACACCTAAAACTCTGACAGAGCTGCTTGGTTAGAGCGCTGACACATGAAAACAGCTGGACCAGAATGGAGAGAAGAGGAAATAAAGAGAAAATCTGGGTGCACAGTTGGGTTAGAAGGCAACACTGATGGGGTCACAGATTGCACTATGGGTCTTTAATGTGAATTATGAAGAGCTTCCACCTGAAGTGAAAGAAAACTATTTTTATCTTTTAAATTATTGGCTTAAAATATCTCCAAACTGAGAAATATTATTATTATAGACCTGAGTGATTTTTCCTCATTATGTGACAAATCTCTGTTGCCTACGCGGAACTGAGAACAGAAACGAACATCTTTCTAAAACATTTTTCTAACATGCGCAGAATGTAGTTTGAGAATTTCAGATAAAATACAAATTTTCTCCCAAAGGTATAGTCATGTCAGCTGGGATTTTTACTGAAGATTACATTTCCAAAAGAACTTGTTTATAAGAAATTGAAATTATAGGCCAGGATTAATGATTTTTGTGATCTCTGTGACCAAAGGAGAAGTTGATTGTTTACCGTTCTGTTAGTAGTTAAAATTTTTTAAGACTTAGGAAGGAGAAAAGAATGTGAAATTTGCCTTAATATCAGACCTACTCTATTAATACACATTTATTTAGGAATTATTTTATGTAGAATCTAAAATTTGAGGCTTTCATTTCTAATCTCCTTTTGGACCAGTCAAGATGCCAGTTGTTTGGTCTTTTTCATACCTGTGACTTTTCAGAGGAAACTTACAACTGAATGTTTTGGACCAGCATTGCTTTTCAGACCATTTATTCTAGCTTTGAGAACCAGTGATAAAAAAAAATATTCTATAACCTATGATAAGGTATTGTGGGTAAAGGACACCAGTGAAATTCACCTACAAATTAAACGTTGCTCAAACTTAGTTTGGATTGATCAGTAGTCAGTTGGGTGGGGGTCTTGCCAGCATATTTCAGCATAATGGGGTGTTATGCTCAAAAAAGTCACAGCTATGCAGAGAATCAAACTTATTTTGAGTCAAAGATAAACTTTTCAGAAACTTCTCAGAAAAGAAAGTGAAGCATCTGTGTTATATATTTAAGCATCTTTAGTTACTTTAAAACTATTATTTCATGTCCTATCATGCTGAGATGAAACAATAGTTTTAAAGAAACTAAAGATGCTTAAATAAATCCAGCAGATACATGAATCCTTTTTTGAGTGAACATCCCCTTGAATCTGCAACAACCACTCTTTACTGTAGGGGTGATATGGTTCTGCTGATGTCTGGTTTCATTAAAACATAAAACCAAGCAGTCCAACCAAAGAGTTCATCTTTGTGTCATCAGACCAGAGAATGTTCTTCCTCATGGTCTGAGAGTTCTTCCTTTGGTAAACTCCAGATGGCTGCCATGTGCCTTTTATTAAGTCGCGCCTATCATCTGGCCACACGACCATACAGGTCTGACGGGTGGGTTGCTATAGGGATGGTTCTACTTCTTCAGGATCCTTCTCTCACCACAAAAGAAGGCTGGAGATCTGATTTAGTAAACATGGGGTTTTTGGTCGTCTCCTTGGCTTAGGTTCTTTTCCTCCTATTCACTCAGTTTAGGCTACTGACCCAAAGTCTTAGTGGCTCCAAACCTTATCCACTGATTGAGGCAACAGAAATGCTACAGTATCCTTCCCTAAATGTGTGCCTCAAGACAGTCTGGTCTTGGAGGTCTACAGACAGTTCCTTTTACTTCATGCTTGGTGTTTGTGCTTTGATCTTTACATTCACATGTCAGAGGTTATATAAGTCGGTTTAAGCCTTTCATGGCAATGCCCAATTAACCAAACTTACCAAAGGTGGACTCCAATTTAAACTGTCGGAACATCTAAATGATGGGCGGGGGAAAAAAGTCTAATCTTCAGTTGATTATAAAAGGTGTTAATACTTCCTGAATGTAATTTCTTAGCTATCTAGTTCTTAAACATTTTGCAACAATAAAAGCTACTTTTTTTTCTCCACAGAATGGTGTACTGCTTGCAGAATGTTGAGGATATAGATTTTTAATACAATTTAAAATAAGACTGGAAGATAACTCAACGTGGGAAAGGTGCAGGGCTGGGAATCCTTTCCAGATCCAGTGTATGTCATCGACTCATCATATTTAGCAGTATTATCTCAATTACTTAAACCAAAAAAAAAAAAAATAAAATCTGTCTTTGTCCAAACAATATGGTTATTACTAAAAAAAATGTAAAATGATAACAAAAATAGATATAATTATCTAATTCAACCTCAACCTCTAAAATACTATGGCAATAAGCCTGGACTGTTTCTGCACTGAACAGTAATTCTAAAAAAACTGAGTTTGAGATTTGTAAAATAGTTGTCCTAAATGAGTCGATGAAAAAAAAATGTAATTGTTTTCCAAAAATACAGTAAAAAACAATCTCATCTCATTCCCATAAACCCAGTATTGTCTCACCTCATCAGCAGGATGGGTTGTCACACCCATACTTATACAACTAAGATTTATTTTTTTCAAGAGGAGGGTTTTATCTAGATGAGTTAATCTAATATAAGTGATATGAGTTAATCTAATTAGACTAATTGCAGTCAACTCCAGATCATTTATAATATCCTTATATGTCAATGTTGGTATAATCTGTGCAATAAAAGATTTTTAAAAATAATTCTACAGCAATGCCAACTTTAAATGCTGATCTAGCGGTGATCTTAGCACATTAATGAGAACATTTTTTTTTTTAATCAAAGGGTACCTTTAAAAGGCTTTTGACAGAACAAGAGTCAAAATCTGATTGATTAGCTCTTTCCAGAGAGCATGCATGTGGTGTAAAATCAGCTGAGAAGCTTAGACAAAGGCAAAGCAAACACACCCCTGACTGCAGCCTGAGCTCCAACAATGAAAACTGGAAGGCAGACATTTCAGACTCACGCACACATCCATGCACACATGCACATGCAGACGGGGAGGCAGTGGGAGAGGTTTCTCCACTGCTGCAACACCCCACCAGCACCCAGCTGCCTTGCTGAGCAACGCCAGCCCTCCTCTGAATTCAACCCCCCACCCTGTTCTCTGTGACAAGAGCCTGAATCCGTCTCCTCTTCGGGGATGCAGAAAAACAAGGGGCTACACGAAAGGGCCAGATAATCAGAGCTCATCTCAAATGGGCGTGCATGTTTTCCCCCTCCTCCTATGCTCTGCCCTCTCACTTTCTCTGCAGCACCAGCCTGCAACACAAGCCCCATGTCAGCCTGCCAAAAGGGAGGTGGGCAGGGTGGGCTTATTAGATTTTTAAAAGAACATTTTTAATTAAAATAAAGACCCAATTACATGAAAATCACATTTGCCCTTTTTTTTTTTATCTCACAGGCACAAACTGGATAAAAAGAGGAAATGAGACCAGAGGATTCTGGTCAATCAATATCATCCCAGAGATCAATAAGTGTGAAAAATAAAGAAAAACATATGTTATTATAAAAATGATAAAAATTTAATTTGTTTCAAGCTAATAATTTCACATATTTTCATTCTAAGAGACAATATTTAAAATGGCACTATCATCCACCTTATTGGATCACTCTGATGCTGAGCTAAAAACAAGAATGCATCTAAAAAAATTCTAAATTGTGTTCCTATGCAATATGTCAATGCGAAGAAAAAAAGAGAAAAATGTGAATTTTCCTGTCCAGACTCCTCAGCATTAAGCCACATTTCCGCTCAACAAAGGAGATGCAGGACACCTTTAAGAAAACGCCTTAACTCCCTCTGCCTGTCTGTCACTATGGCAGCCAGTCATGTCTCTGTGCACATAACCTACATTATTTTTCCTTCTTCTATTTCTTCCATCTTAAACATCAGAGCGAAGCTGTTCATTATTTTTTCCCCCAGTTAGAGCCTAAATGAAATGAAACGCAGTGATTTGCAGGAGCGCGCATCAAAGTTCCAGCAGCCATTGAAGCAGAAATAACTCTTTTATTAATATCTTTACTTACGGTGATCTTTGGGATGTTCTTTTTGCCTTGATAAGACATGTTCTCTCCGATTCCACCTTTATTCAAACAAAAAACGACCCTAACAAAGCGGTATTTCCCTCTCTTTGCGGATGCTGCAGCGGCCCTCTGGTCCGGATGGGAGCTTCAAGGAATGGTGGCCCCTCCTGACAGTGCGCTGTTCAGTCAGTGCCTCAGCAAAGCGCTATAGGAGCGTCTGTACTCCCGATCAGCGGCCCCTCCCTCCGGATGATCGACTACAGAAGCTACAGTGTCGCGATCTTTCCGCCAGAGGGCGCGCCAGAGCTCATGGCCACTAACATTCTCATGACAGCAGTTTTTGCATGTTTGTTTCACAGAGAGTAGGTAGGAATCTATTCTAAGCTTTTCACTTTCATCTTTATCCCATAGCTGCTTAAAAACTCCTGTTGGTGAGTTTGAATAAAATATCTGCATTTAGCAACATGGATGTCTACTTTACAATTAATATTGTGATGTGGCAGCTGTTAAAGAGCCTCACCAGCACACACATACATGCTACCCCCTCCCTTTCTGCTTGTCCCCTCCCAGCCCTCTGTCCTTATTGTTTGAACCTAAAATGGACCCCTCCTTCACTCACCACTCTCCTCCTCTGCACTAATGCAGCTATAATGAGCTTCTGATGTCAATGTGAGAGCAGACATTCAAATGAAAAAAAAACCTTTATAACCCAGAATATTTCATCCAGTACCTCTAGTAATTAGCTAATATAAAAAGCTTCCTTTCCTTCAAATGTTTAGATGCGATATTAAAATTAATTTGTTTTACATAGCTTGCATAATTTATAAGGACAAATGGAAAAGAGATCAAATGTAATTCCACTTCAGCACCATTTACTCTATTACCCTAAATAAAAAAATAAAACACATTACAACCGACTCCCCTCAAAGAAATGCAGAGGTGTCAAGTAACGAAGAACAGATACTTCTTTGCTGTACTTAAGTACACTTTTTAGGTATCTATACTTTACTCCATTACTTATTTTTC